GAGAGGAGAGGAGAGGAGAGGAGAGGAGAGGAGAATTAGAGTCTAAACTAGGAAAGCCTCAAAGGAGGAAGAAGAAAGAAGAAAGAAGGAAGAAAAAAGAAGGAAGAAGAAAGAAGAAGAGGGAAGAAGAAGGAAGGACGAGGAAGAAGAACAAGAAGATGCAAAAGAGGAGGAAAGAAGAAAAGGAAGGACGAAAGAAGAAGGAAGCGGAAGCAAGAAGATGAAGAAGATGAAGAAGATGAAGAAGATGAAGAAAGATGGAGGAGCTGCAAGACAAAAAAGATGGGTGGAAGAGGAAGACGAGGACGAGATGTAAGGTGTAACCGTGTAAGCGAAGGGCAGATCTACCTTTGAACACCGACTGCCATCATCCTGAATAATGCATCCTGAAGGTCTTCTGTACACCCTTTCCAGCTGCACAAGCGGTCAGGAGAGTTAAAAAAGGAGCACAACAAGATCAAGAACAAGAACAAGAACAAGAAGTACAATACCAAGAAAAGACACACCTTCTGTACACCCTTTCCCGCTGCACATCCAGTCAGAAGAGTTAAAAAAGGAGCACAACATGAACAAGACCAGGAACAAGACCAAGACCAAGAACAAGACCAAGACCAAGACCAGGAACAAGAACAAGAACAAGAACAAGAACAAGACCAAGACCAGGAACAAGAAGTACAAGGAAAAGAACAAAAAGTGGAAGCCAATGATTGTATCATAACGGCTTAGTATTAGATTGAAGGTTCAATCAAAGAGTATGTGCCCTTCATCCAAAGGTCTCCACACTTGTATTTGTTGTTGTGTTATCTTGTGCTTCTACTGTCCATTGCGGTTCTGTTTGCTGGTTCCCACAGGTTTCGCATTGTTGGGTTCATTTTGTTCGAAAGCGGTCCTCTGTGCATTCGTTGGGTTTATTGTTCAAGAGGACTCCTTTCCTTTAAACATCAGTCAGGTTGATTTTTTAAAAGGGGTGCCTTTGTTGGGTGTATTTTTCAAAAGGGGTCCTTTACCTTTATGCATTCGACAGGTTTACTTTTAAAAGGCGTGCCTTTACCTTCATGCTTTTTTAGACTGAAAAGGATCCGAACCCCGTCTCATTGACACAGAGAGAGAGAGAGAGAAAAGCAACAAAAGACTGTTTTTTCCTTGTCTGTTTCCCAAACTTTGTTGTTCATACCATCACATTTGCAGTGTTTTCCAGTCACAGGGATTAAGAAATACAGACCTTCGATCTTCATGATCTACAACCAGTACATCTTAATCCCTGCATGAGCAATCTCAGCCCTGAATACTGGACAGATGAAGATAGTAGTTTTGTCCAGTGAAACATGAATTTGAAGGGCGAAGCAACAATTTTGTGAAGTGAAACATGAGCTTGAAGGGCGAGGAGGAAATTTGGTGCAGTCAAGCATGAGTTTGAGATGTAGGGGAGTTATGACAAAATCAATATTTGTTTCTTTCGAAGACGTAAAATGGAAATTGGAATTCAAATAGACTAAGACCATTGTAGAGCTCCTTTTTGCCAAGCATAAACTAAACCAATCACTAATATGAGTATAAAGAGTAAAGCCTCTATAAAAGCTGAAATACCTAATGAATGAAAACTTACAGCCCAGGGATACAAAAAGACAGTTTCTACATCAAAAACAACAAATRCAAGGGCAAACATATAGTAACGTATATGAAATTGAATCCATGCTTGTCCTTTAGGTTCAATTCCGGATTCATAG